TCCACTTTTCTTGACTCAGCCCATGCTCTTGTCTGTGGGAACATCTGCATGCGTTTCTGAAAGTCCCCGAAAATGAAGCGTTGTAAGATAGACAAAAATAAATTATCTGCTGTTTCGGTTCAGCAGAGGTATCAAGCCTCGTTGGCTGGTGCACTCGGCGGCGACCCACCGCAAGATATTGATGAACATTGCACGTGCATGCAGAGGACCATGACCTCTTCCGAACAGCAAGTCTGTGGTCTTAGCACCCTATTAAGACCTGGATCTCCACGCGCTCTTTGGATTTCTTTGACCGCTGCAGGAATATCTCAGCGGAGTCTAATCATGATGAAATGCGCCGTTCTGTCATCTGGCTGGTCAAATAAAGCCTACGCAGTGACCGTGTAGCTTGGTGGTCCCAGCGTGCTTCGGAAATGGAGGCCGCCGCCCCCTCTGGTAATACTCGCAAGCTCTTCCGGCTCATTCTATCCACTGGCCACAGAAAGTCTGGTGTCATTGAGACTATATACGAAGTAGATGGTTCGCCGATTGCCAACTTACAGAGACGTTTGGACCGATGGGCGGAACATTTTCATCCTTAGGTCAATTGGCCCTCACGGTCCAATTATATCCCCTGCGAACACAGGTGCCCGCCCTGGGTCGTCACATATGATCCACCTAGCGAAGCGGAAGTTTGTTTTGCGACTCGACACCTAAGACGATTCATGGCTGCCTGGTCAGACGGAATTCCTCCGGAGCTATTCAAATATGGAGGTTCAGTTAATATTAGCCAGCTGACCCCATTATTCTCTAAAGGGTACCTTCTTAATACTTCGAGTCAATTATTCTCCCGGTTTTTAAGAAGTGTGCTCGCACTTCAATTACCCATCACCGGGGGATTAGTCTCATTTCGGTTACCTCCAAACTATTGGCATCCATTCGACTCCGTAGACTATCTCCTATTCGCGGATCGCAGTACCGAGAAGAACAAGTTGGCTTCCGATATGGCCGTGGGTTCAGATATTTAAACTCCGCCAAATCCTGGAACACCGCCACCTTTACCAGGGGCCTACCATCGTCGCATTCCTGGACATCCGTGCCGCATTCGACTCGGTTGGTCGATCTGCACTATGGCGTTGTTTGCTAAGGAACGGTGTCGCATAAAAGTATACTGCCATCCTACGCACACACTGTATTCCCACCTCTCTGGCAGAGTGAGGGTGTATGGTAGGCCTTCATCGTTCTTCGCTGTCAACAGCGGTGTACGACAACGCTGCCTTATGTCCCCGTTCCTCTTCAATTTCGCGATTGAAGACATCCTGTCGAGAGCTCTAACGGTTGCTAAAATGTTGGTATATAGCTTTTACCGGGCAAGCGAGCAACCGACTTAGAGTATGCCGATGATATCGCCTTACTTGGTGAGGACTCATAGAGCATGCAAACCATTCTAGACCGCTTGGCGATTGAGGCATCTAGGTACGGAATGTGCTTTGCCCCGTCAAAGTGTAAAGTGCTGCTTCAGGATTTGCGCTCAGTTGTTCTCGTGCTCAATATTGAAGGTACACAGCTTGAACAAGTGGATAGCTTTGTCTACCTTGGTAGCTGTGTATCTGCTGGTGGTACCATTAGAAGGGAAGTTTCTCTTCGCATCGCCAAAACTCGGCCGGCGTTTGTCAACCTGTAGCACTTGTGGCGTCGCCGGGATATCTCCCTCTTGGTAAAGGGTCGTGTTTACAATGCTACCCTTCGGGACGTGTTGCTGTATGGAAGCGAGTCATTTGCAGTTCGCGTAGACGACATGTGCCGGCTCTCTGCCTTCGACAACGGGTGCTTAAGGAGGATTGCTCATGTGTGGTGGCAACAACACATTTGCAACAGTGAAGTCAGACGTCTTGTCTTAGGGAATGCGAGTATTCCCTTCAGCAAGCTGGTTTTGCTGCGCCAGTTAAGATGGCTCGGTCACGTCCTGCGTGTGTCAGCTGAGTGTTTACCCTATCGTGCTCTGTCTCGTGCAGGACTCAACTGGAAGGGACCACTTGGTGGTCCACCATCCACTTGGCGACAGCAAATGAAATTGTTGACTTCACGTCTTGCCACCATTGGATCCATACGTCTGCCTGGTTGGGACCAAAGGACGAGGAGTGCCGATGGCTGGGAACCATTCAGGATATGGCTCGTAATCGAAACCAGTGGAGTATCTGTGTATGTATCTGCTTAGATTTGGATACTTAATGCTTAACTATTAAGGACAAAAATATTGTAAATGGCGTATGCAAGCTAACAGAAAATGCTTCTTTTTTTCTTTCGCGGCACAATAGCTAAAGTGTATTGCTTACTTTCAGTTAATGTGCCATGGTGCTTATGCGGTGTTCAACTTGTCTTCTTTTAGTGATTTCCATGGTTAAGTTTGGCTCTAGGTCTATTTGATAGACCTGACTGTACTACTGCTACTAGTATATTGCTACTACCTACTACTGCTAATGATAATAATAAAAATAACAATAACTACTACTACTATTAATACTTCCACTTATACTAAATACTACTAATACTACAATAATACTACTGCTACTGTTACTACTTGGCCAAGCGATGACTTGGTTGAGAGGAATGAAGACCCTCACTTCTGAGCTGGCCTCGGTTGGAGCTTCTCGACTCCCTGGTTCGGGTCCGAAAGATGAACACGTTTAGCTGGATACACTTGCTGATATGGCTAGGAGCCGACCTCAGTGGCGTTCGTGTTGCAGTTTCTTTGTACCACTCCACCCATCTTAGCCTCCCCCTCCAACCACGATCTCACTATTTAGCCTTATATAATTTTGCATAGTAATTTTTTTGATGCACAGTAGCCGGCTGGTAGCTTACCAGAACAATGCCCATGCGTTACCGGTAGCTCAGCCGGCTTGTACTAGTTGCATTTTTCTCCTTTTTCTATGTATTGCGGCACAGTAGCTGAGGTGTTTCCCACCTCTAGCTAACGTGTATGATGATGATGGCTGTTATTACGTTCTGTCTTATGTAGCTCCAGAAACTTTTCGGCATGCTACTTGCGGTTGTTATCCCCATCCTCACAGTCTTTCGTGTGAACTCATCAATCACAGCTTCATTGATGAGTACTTTGCACTACTCTTTTTCTGGGAGCACGGCGTCGATCGGAACATGAAATAAAACATTTTCAGATACAGTGTTTTTTCTCTGTTCCTTGACCTACTTCGAAATTCATTCCCTCTCTCAGGTTACTCTCATCGGTTATAGGTGTAACCATTGATCCCTAAGTAAACTGGGCAAACCTGGGGATCTACATTGTAGTGGTTTGGTTTGTATGTAATCCTTAACTTCGGCTTCGAATCCTCCAATACATTAGTGGTATCCCATTAGTTTTGCCCTTATCTGTCCTGATTCCGTTTTCGTTGTATTCTATTTGTGAGTTTCTTTGTCTCTCCTTGTCCTAATTATCTTCCCCCTCCAAACACATATATATATATATATATATATATATATATATATTTGCAAAAGTCTGCTAACAGACATAATGCCATCAGAAACCATGGGATTCAAACGAAGGTACAGAAACAGTAAAATAAAACACAACACAACAATGTCCATGGTTTTCTCAGAGGGCGAGATACTACCCGGTTGCCCAAGCCGAAGTAGGGTGTTGACTTAGGGGACACCACCCCGAGCCTTTGGCTGAATGGCCTGCCTGCAAGGCAGCGGAGCGAATTCAGGGAATCGCGCCCATTCGGAGCCGGTGACTGATTGCTCAGTTCATGCGCCTTTCGTTTGTTCCTTTGTCAAACAGGGGCCCAGTGCTCCCCAGAAGTAAAGCATATGGTTGCTGAAATACAATGCTTCGCCAGAATGAAGCAAGGGGCAGTGACTTTCTTTAGTGGCGAGTCACATCCATCACGTCACAGTGTTGTTAAACGGACATATGTGGCTTTTTATAGGGAGAACGCTTGCCAGGCGAAAACGCACCACTTCCTGGAACACTGCCGCCGAACCATTTGCTGGAACGGGAAAATCCCGAAACACCCAGCTGAAACCACGAGGAGGTTGTTCGGCAAGCCAGCCCTCACATTTGTTGCTTAAAACGACACTAAGCATCGTATTCTCTTTTTGGTTTGCATCCCTTAATATTTTGCATCTCCTTTTTGTCATCTTATCATATTTATTTATGGTACATTAGCTGAAGGGAATGAACACACTTCAGCTGTACTGTGTTTATTCTCCTCAGGTAATGTGTATTGATGATGGTAATGATGCTCACCCCCATTTTCTTGCTGTAGTTTATTGTTATTCTAGAGACGTAAGTCATATCGAATGGATCGACTGCACCTCGTTTCTCAGATCATAGCTTTAACTGAACTGAACTGATCATATCCAGAGGTGGTCAACCGATGACGTGGCTAGTGAGCACGAACAGATTCCCCGAAAGGCGAAGGTGGTTTGATGATTTTTGTCTACCAGGGGCTTCGGGCCCATTCTCGGCTATGATGCGGTTGCTGAGCTTATGTCGCACATTCATTCGTTCCCGTACTATGCGCCCCTGACTATTTCATCAGAAAAGTTTGTTTTTTAAGAATTCCTCTCTAATTACTATTTGCCTACCATTTTTCGAACCACATGTACCAAGACAATTAGATGCACGTTGGTAACCTAAACTGAGCTAGCCTGTTTCACACTAATACAACAGTAAAGCCCACGTAACTTGACCACATCAACGGGGAATGGACCAAAGTGGTCAGCATACAAATTGGATCTATAAATTTTACATGGTGAATGTTCAAGCAATGAAAAAAATTGGTTAACTTAGTGAGGTGGTCAGAACATGGAGGCGGCCTACTTTGGAGGCTTTACTGTGATTTCCACCATGCTTCGTTTCACCGAGTGTTTCGGATACCTCCGCTGCTTAAATATTTTTATTAGCTTCGATTGCACATCTACCCGAGTGGTTAATCATCGGATTTTGTATAAAAGTCGATGTATCACCTACCATTCTTCTCTCTCTATCTGTTCAGCTTAGCCGACACATTGTGGAGTATCAGAATCAAGCGAAGCAACTGGTGTGTCGCATGACTCCGAACTCTCCTTCGCGATGCTCCCTAATTGCTTCCCCGTACATGTTTCACTACCTATTGGATCGTGGTGTATGTTACTTGGTCTTGACTGAGGGCCAGTTCAACCGAACTAAGGCATTCGCATTTTTGGAAGCCATTCAGACTCAATTCTATGCAGATTATTCATCGAAAATCCACACAGTTTCTCGTCCCTACGCGTTTCTGGACTTCGGTGAGCTTATTAAGCATACAGTCATCGCCAGTGGTTGTAACTTGTTTATAAAGCTAACTTCGCTCACTGATTAATTACTTATGTCTATATAAGCCGAGTTATGCTCGTGCCATTTTACTTTCCAGATCGCTTCATCCGAAAAACTCAGAAAACCTACACTGACAGCCGATCCTCTAATCTCAACCAGTTGAACGTCGCACTTCAGGATGTGCAGCGTATTATGGTCCAAAATATCGACGATGTGTTGCAGCGTGGAGAAGCATTATCAGGTCAGTAATTTCCCTTCTCAAACCTCCGATGCATTTGAACTGCTGTATCTAGATACCGTTTTCTTCGGTGGACTTCACTGACTTGTTGGCTCGTGTTCCCTGCATGATTGTGCACTACCTTACAAGACGGGGTTCTCTCTACACGCTGTATTTCACTGCTTGCTGCGGTTGTCAGACGGGCTTTCCCGTGGTACTGTTTTCTCTGTGTTCGGACGAGCCCACCGGCTGTAGGCTCTGCAGAGCGATGTCCACCCGTTTCTGGAGCCTCAGCTGGCATGCCTGTGCAGTCAAAGCAGCCGAGAAGTCTGCACGAGCCTACAAGGCAGGCGAAACATTCCATAGAGAGGAGCCCCGTGGGTTCATCCAAGCAAGCGGAAACCTAGCCACCTCTATGTTCGAACGAGCCCACCTGCACACCGACTGCAGGCTCTCCAGCACGATGTCCACTCGTTGCTGGAGACTCAGCTGGCGTGCCTGTGTTGCGTCCTACGGACACTAACATACCGGTGTGCGATAGCGCAGGCGTTGAAGGCCAATAGAGAATGCAGCGAAGCAAAAAGGAGAAGACAGCTGCCAGCAATCAGCGGCGTTGTAACGATATTTCACGTGCCTGAGTCGACAGATGCTAGTCCTCAGGTTCGTAATGACCACGACGTGGATTCTCTGCAGGCCCTGATTGGCAGACTTCTCGACGTGAGTGAACAGGGGTTGCGGGTGAAGCAAATCACCCGTCTTGGGAAGAAAGAGGAGAGGCAATCTCGACCTCTGCAAGTCACCTTTGTTGTTGCAACAAGTCCGAAGCTGATACTATCCCGCCTTGGTAGGCTAGAGGTCTAAAAATCCATATTCGTCCCGATTTGGATCCGTCGGACAGAGAGAAACTGAAGTCCGCTATTGTGGAGTTGCATCGGCGGGCTGATAATGGAGAAACCAATCTCCACATCCTAAATTTTCGGATAGTTCCTCTGGTCCGCCGAACCCGGATCAACAGATCGATGACGCTTCATGCGCGTCTGCCGGTTCCTACCGCAGCCTGCGCATAGCCATCGCAAATGTTTGCAGTTTAATGAACAAAGGTGAGTATGTATTTCACTTCGTTGACTCGCCTCGTCTGGTCGTTGGCGCACTGCACCAGGGGATCTCAGTGACTTCCTTACTGGGAGATGATGGCGGGTTCAGGTGGATGACCACCTAACGTAATGTTACCCGTCCACTAGCAGCGTACTCCAAGGCACAGTACTGGAACCCATTTTCTTCCTTATCCACATCAAAGAAGTACCTCAGCTTCTTCGATCGCCCTGCGTATTATTTGCGGATGACCTGAAGATTTAGAGGATTATTAATTCTCCTGGGTACTTTGACGTCCTTCAGCAGGACCTGGACCGCCTATCCCGGTGGTCTTCAGAAGTTTACCTACCGTTCAACACGGCCAAGTCCTCCTTTGTGTGCTTGGGGAGGGGTAGTAATGGGCGTACGTACATCCTGGCCGACCACCCGCTGCATCCCACCAGTTCCGTAAAGGATCCAGGTGTGTACTCTCACGCTGTGATCTGAATTCTGTCGACAACACGAACAGATTGTACGCAAACGGACTACGCTTGCTTTGGGCACTTAGACGCAGTTTTTGCAATTGGTCTGAAGAGATTGTTACCCGACTGTTCTCTTCCATGATAAGACCGGTGCTTGAGTACGACTCATCCGCCTATTGCCCGATCACCATAGTTGAGGTGCAGAGGCTGGAACGGGTCCAGCATGTAGCTATCTGGCTCATCCCCAGTTTATGATGTTTGTCGTACGAGGACCGATGCAGTAGACTAGGGCTGTATACCCTGTCATATCGTTGGCTTCGAGTTGATCTCATTATGACGCACCGGATACTGCACCTAAGCCACCTCCCCTATGTTAAAGCCGCTGCTGCACGTTCGCAGACGCCGGTACAAACTAATGGTACCGGATTTAAAGCACATCACCCACGTTCTATGCTTCGAGCATCGTGATGAAATGTTGCAATAAATTGCCGGAGACGCTAGTCGAGGCGAAATTGATGTCGGAGTTTAAAAGATTCCTTGACGCCCACTTTGCGGACGACAGGTATAGGGAGTATCGCTCCCGGATAAGGTGTAGTGCAGCTCCAATATGCTGCGACTGCGCAGGAATCAGAGACGTGATTGCACGCATGTGCCTGATCCACCTACGATGGAGCAACACAGCTTTTTATCTCCTCTATTCCCAGTATTCAGTATTCTCTCTCCTCTCGTTCGCCTTATTCTTGTTGATCCTAGTTTTTATCTCGACACTAACTGTAATCACCGGACTCCCAACACATTGCAGTTAAGCTGAAAGACTGTAATTCGGGCACCGAAGTACGGTGAACCCAGTTGACATGACTCGCGCCGCAAAACGAGCAATAAGTAACGGCGGTTGGCATATTAAATTAAACGCACACACTGCAAAGGAAGGAAAGTTGTGAAAGAAGTGTGTAAAACGAAGCAGGATGGAATGTACGTTAAAAATAACATGCAAGAAACCGAATGCAGCAGAGCCACTGTGACTGCGCCATGTTCGATATGGTACCTAACCACCGATATGGCCCACTCCAACCCTCATCCACGAAGACACAGGCGTCAACCTAAGAAATTCTCACTCAATTTTTTATGCGTGCATGCTACATCATCGACTGGCCACGTTGCCGTCTCACCCAGTTTTCTGCAGCAGCAGCAGAAGCATCCAATGCACGCGGAGTAAGGCGTTCAACAAGCATATGGAGGGGATCACTTTACAAAATGAATAGTTAATCTTTACTAGCCACTGAGGTGATGTACCAGAGGGTTTCTTGCGAAAAAGCGATTAAATTGCTTCCAAAAGTTCAGGTTTTAGTCTGTTCTCCGAACTGCACACTTTCGTTGCAGGCGTCTCATCACCAATCGAGGTGACTTCGTCAGTGCGTACTAAGCAAACTGGGTGACTTTTGACCGACGAAACTGTTCCGCTTGGAGAACAGACTAAAACCTGAACAGACAACCCTAGCTAGAGGTATTCCGATTTATTGCTTCCCAAAGTGCTCAGTTTTCAACGATCCAGGCGTTTGCCAGGTTATGGATAAGCTGTCCCTCCTCATCCAATATAGTCCAACTAACACTAAGTGTCCTGCCGCCCGTTTCGCGTATCACACGGAATAACTTTTGTTGGTTCCCAAGGACAGTAGCTATTTCCATCTCCGAGGCACTGTGAGACTACCAGGATTCGGGGTCTATCTTCAGCCTAGCAAGCAGTTTGGCCTAGAGTCTCTTGGTTTTCCATTCAAGCCGAAAGACTTTGGTGGGTCTTCAATGGTTCTAGAGACTGTGAAGGGACCCAATGTCCAGTTTAGTAGGCAGATTTACCACATAAAGACTTACCTGCTGCTAATATGGTCTGTCGGACATGCGACCAGTGACCTTCAGTTGTATTAAGCAATTGCTTACGCAACCCGAATGTTGGCGTACTTCAGTGCGCATTTAGAACACCTGATACTCGTAGCGCCGTCGCAGGCGTCCGCCGAAAGCAACTCGGAGATCCACCCATACTAGTGCATGTTCCGGGTCCACACTTGTACCCCAAATCGAGCGGCAGTTTTGGACATTGTCTCTCCGTCGATTACTGGTAGCGAATAGATGGATTTGTGTCCATGCTTGGTTTGAAGCTGTTGGGCGCCATGTCACCCTTGTGCTGGTGCTGTGTCGGAAGTCAGTGTTCACGAGAAATCGACGAATATCTTCCAACAGTTATAACGGCTGCTCACTGTTATCATTATAAGTGTCCACTCCGTGTTGGCCACCCAGATAGGTCTCAGCATTGGACAATTTCCCAACAAGTGTTCCGATCACTAACTAGTATTACAGTACCCCCACTTGTTCGATGGCGAAGGAGCTCGTTCAGTTGATGATGGAAGTTATCCTTCACTGAGTCAGCGCAACAGTTCGTGGTGACATAGGCCTCAATGACAACCAGGTACTCATCGGCCCTACGTGACTTTGGACGAGCTAGCTAGTCGGACGGCGCACATTATGTTACTTACTGGCATTCAGTCAAGCGGAGGAGCTTTAGCTCGCGTGCTCAGAGCAATACCTACATCGGCTTAACCGACATTCGAGACTACGTTATCTCTGGATAGACGCAGTGATAAATTACAGCTAATGCCAATTTAAGGGGCTCTTAGAGTGAGCACAGTGTTGGAGCCTTGCAGGCGGTTTTCCGATAAGCAGCATTTATCGAACGAGATGATCTCTAGTGTTCGGTCAAGTGCTACTGATTAACCAACCTGTAACAAAGTACGCACGATGAGGCAGGCTAATCTCTGCGAGGATCGAGGGCTCCAAATAGAAACGAATGAACTGAAGTCCGCTTGGTGGGACCTATACTTGTTGACAAGGAGAAGGTGATGCTCCGCGATTGTATTTCAGTCGAAACTAAGAGACGAATACCTCTCAAGGCAAATTGGGGAGGGTTGGAACAGAGGGATAAAAGGGAAGTTGGAATGGGACGACAAGGATGAAAGGGTGTAAGAGGGAGAATAAGAAGACGAGTAAGCTTGAGCAGTAACATTCTCACCGCTATCCTCTTCGCTCGATACGACAGATATAGAGCTGCTTATCCTGTACGTTGGTCAGAGCATCAAGAAAGTATTTGAATATGATTCAGTTTTAGTGCATGGCAGGGCGCTGTCAAGTTACTGCGGCCTAGACGGGAGAACTACTAGTATTCTCAGCCAAAGCTTTTGGTATAACACTGATTACTAGGCAGCGGGAGCTTTGGTGATTGGTTTTATGGAATCCGTTTTAAGGTATAAAGACCCACCCTCACTTCAACTTGAAGACCAAGTGACAGAGTTTACTGGCTTCTTACCTTTGAGTAGTCTGTTATAAGTGACTGCACGTTCAAGCTACCACTCATCACAGTTCAGTGGGGTTCGCGAACCTTCGTGCCACGTTAAAGACCAGTCCTGTTGCGACGTTTATGCTGTGTACGCGTTGGCCTTCCATCAGTGTCTCTGGCGTGCTCGGTCCTGGTTGGCGATCACTCCGGAGTACTTTGCTCCTTTATGTTCACAGCTAGCCGCTCCAATTCTGTCCAATTATTACGACTAATCGTCTTTCATCAACTTTACTGCCCCTGGCTCAGAACAACCTATTTCCTCTTATCTCTCTCCTACGCTCTGTTTAATCTTAGAAACGTTCCCCATCTTCTGGGGTCCCGGTTTGAAGAGTCTGTGTTGCCCTTTTCTCTACGGCCTATCTCGCTCGCTGATCTTCTCTCCGACTGACCTTTATCTCTTGTGAGCAAGCGTATGGTTTACAACTGTCTTACAATTCACTGGCTCCGCCACCGTGATGAACCACTTTTGCTCTGCTGTTGATTTAAATCTAGATAATCCGCCTGCACTTTCTATCTAAATGCAATGCTCTCATGGTATCTGCTCCAAAGATGGGGGCGGATCTCCTTTACTTTTTCGATCTCCATAGGTATCCGTTTTTGTCACATTAACTCCTGCCAATTTTGTGAAATGTATTGCTTCACCTTAGTCCTTCTGTCGATTACCTGGGCGTCCTTGTAACATTCCCGCTCTCCTTGCCGTTTTTGTTGCAGCTCTTGATGCCCGTGCTTCCAACTTGTCCACAATGTCGAAAAAGTACCGCCAGGATGCATCCGCGCTCAATTTACAATCGGCATGGGTGTTCTATTTCCTATTTTGCATCGTCATTTTGGCTGTTTTTACGTATATTTATTTGCGGTACTTTTGACCCCCGATACTGTTCCGCTTTATTCCATCGCGGAGAACACCTCCGTCAATTTCCTCGCCTAACGTTGCCTCAAGTGGTCAGGCTGTGATTCGATCCCTGCCCCTATTGACTATGGGTTTATGCTTCTACCGTTTCCCACTTCATTTGCCCAACCTTTAGGCAGTGTTCAATTGCCAACAACGAACTCTCTTTCCATTTGACCACTTTTTGTCTATCAAGTTAATAAATAAAAATAATCGCCAGCTGTACGCCGTAGCGGCGCTTCGCTGCCACGCGATCACCAACAGTCGCGCGTAGGCTGAGTATACCGCGAGGACGCCCGCTCCTACGCGGATTCGAACCGGTGACTTTATGGTTGCAAATCATACACGCATACGACCCAGTCACCGGCCGACGTTTGTCAAGTTATTTGATTAGTAAACTCTACTACCCCTAGCTCATAGGTGGCCGTTTAGATTCATAGCTGTATTTTCAGACCATCGATTTGTTGAGTTTGTCCAGTGGACGCCACTTTGCGCTACTGATATACAGCCGTTCCAATCAGCAGCAGGCTACACGCAATGGATGTCGGCACACACACATGACAATAGGTCAGCTTACTGGTTTTTTTGGTCGTATTTGCATACACTGAAAGAATGGCCATCCACTCTGCCGGTCGAGCTCGTGTAATACACTATGGCGAACTCACAGAATGCCACCGAAACTCACTAGTGGTATCAGCCATAATAATAGTGCTATTGATAATGATAACTGTTGGTATACGAGATACGTCAGGGAAGTTCCAGGACTGCCGTCACATGATATATTTCGGGTCAAAATTGCACACTAAACATTTTCCTCTTCGTGGTGTTGTAAAGGCGGCGCGGTGCGTAAGAGTTGTGTATTGGAGAACGAACGTATGCAAAGTATAGCATTTCGAACATAGAACACTCGGACTCATTTACGCACTTCATTCGTGGTGCCATTTGATTTTACACTTCACTTTGTGCTGTTTACTCAGCTTGCCGTGACG